CACATTTAGCTGAGGCATTCGGGTGTTTATTGTGGTGTTCACTGGGGGTCATCTGGTGCTCACTGGGGATTGCATGGGACTTGCCTCAGTGCTCATACATCTTTTTTGTATGCTTTTTACTGTGATGCTCATAGGGGTCACACACCTGCCTGGTATTTACACACACCTGACTACAGTGCACTCAGAAATCACTCACAGTGTCAGGGATGGCAGAAAGTAGAGCTTACAGACCCAAATAACAGCTGCCAGGATCCAGCTTGGTGCATGTGGCAACATCAGAGGTTTGAACTCATGCCTGCATGTTTGCTAGGCCGGCCTTCTCATCCCTCCACTTTTCTTTCGGGCCTAGAATAGAACATTTCCTCTTGAAAAGTGGAAAGAGAGAAATGGGGGAGAAGGGAGTCCCAGAAGCTTGTAACTATTTAAACAGATTGGAACCTAGCGCTGCCAGATTCTAAACTAATAGCAAATCAAGAGGACAGTGGAACGAGAATCCCAGCTAGATAAAGCAGACTTCTTTTGGGAGGTGACTTCTGGCTCCATTGAAGGGAGATTCTTTTTCCCTCAACAATTTGGACTAGCAAGAGATGGTGTGTGCTGACTCCCAAATAAGAATTTCTCCCACCAGAAGTTTCAAGAAAGAGCCGGAAGTCCACTTGTCAGGAGGTTCTGGAAGGATTTCTGCCTTTGACAGAAAGTTGGAGCCCTCCCTCTCCTCTGCTTCTCAACACTGACTTTGATTCTCAGATCCCTGGAAGGCAGTACAAGTGTGACTTTTCTTTCAATCTGTTTTCTCTCTGCAGCCATGGCTACAGCCACTTGTAAATGCAGGGATTTAAAAATTCCCCAGGAAAATTTACTTAACCCAAAATAGGTTTTTCGTTGGCTTTTAGGGACCAAACTTAAGAAGAAAAGAGAGAGAGAGAGAGAGATGACCTTAGAGAGGAGAGGTGCTCGAGTGCATAGTCAGGCTGCCTCCAGATTGTCTTCTGTCTTAGGGACTGAGGTACAGTCAGAGACTGCGGATGTACAGCTGGGCCGGAGGTAGAGGCGGGTGGGAGGTTGTTGCATGTCCTGCTTTTCACAGGGTGACTCTGTTTCGGCTTATTCGAGGGCACTTACTGAGATTATCCCAACATTCCACAGTCGGCATTTATGGAACATTGTCCAACACTTTACATTCATTATTTCAGTTTCTACTACAGAATCTGCCATGCAAATACAGTTAGCATCACTTTTGCACTGAGGTCATGCCTTTGGCTAAGGGAAGCCACAGTGATTTAGGAACCTATGTGATAAGAGCTAGAGCCAGATAGAGCACTACTTTGACTACAGGGCTAAAGTAGTTTTTTTTTTTTTAGATGGATGGGGGGGCGGGGGTGGTGGATCCACAGACAGTGGTGTTCAGGGACTTTTCTCTGCTAAGTGCAAGAAGTGCCCAGTGGTGCTGGAGATTGAACCCTCACCCCTAGCATGCAAAGTATGTACTTTAGTCTTCAGTCTTCTGGACTCTTCCTCCACCCCTACAGCACCCCTCACTCTTCTCTGTCTCTCTCTCTGTCTTTTCCTCCTGTCTTAGAGTACAATTTGCATAAACCTGAAGATAAATCAGTAGAATTAATTTCCATTTGAGGAATATACTAAGACTAAATGGATTTCTAAAAATAAATCTAAGAAAGTATTCTATTTTATTAAATTTAGTTTTGAACAATGAGAAACAGAGAGAAGAAATGACTCTTAGGAACTTACTGACACAATGACTCAGGCAGAGCTTGCCTTTTCCTCTTGGGCACCACTTATAAGGTCAAAACCGTTATGTACATAATGGATCACTGCTGTCACTGTGAGTCCTCACCTGTCTCTGGGCTGAGGGATGGCCAAGAGTGGCCAGTACCAGGGAGAAGTGCATACTGGGCCTCTCCAGCCAGGGACTTCCTATTGACAGATTTGGAATCACTGTCCCATTCACTTCACATTTCATCACTTACTGTCTGAATTTCTTTTAATTTTCTTAAAAATTCAAATAAATAAATATCCTACCATGTTTTCTACCTTCTATAAACCTCATAATATCATATTTTATAATTTCAAAGTTCCGAGTCCCTAGACAGGCCCTCATATTGACTTTTCCCCCCTTTAAAGTGAAAGAGCAATGTTAACTAATTTTTGTTTGTTTGCAATGCCAGAGATAGAACCCAGGGCCCCATAAGACTCAAGATTCATGAGGCAAGGCAGTGATCTACCACTGAGCTATACATCCCTGGCCTTTGTGCTTATTGTTCTTTAAAAAAAATTTTTTTTGCACTTAAAATTGTAGAAATACCGTTTATTTATTTATTTATTTTGCTAGTGCCCAAACTGTAAGTAGAACTGTTCTTACCAAAAGCTATTTTATAGTTTGATTTTTGGAGCTCTATAAGAATATCATGCATACTGGTTATCTTTCCAAATATAACTGTATAAAAACTTTCAGCCCATCTTGAATGTGAAAGAAAATGCTCCCTTAATCCCACATGAAACAAATGTTCAGGATAGGGAAGTTTTGCAAATGTCTGTGTACCCCTCTGTCATCCCCAAGATTCCTCCCTTTCTAGCTGTGATGGAGTAGGGAGTCACCCCTCCTCATTTGCTTAGGTTTTAGGATTTCAGCCTTTGGGGTGTTGAACTCTTGCACCCAACATCAGTGAGTGGAGTAGCAAAGTAAGTTGCTGGGGAGAGTGGCACCAGGTTCTCAGAAGTTCCTGGAGCCAGATAACTGTTGTAGGGGATGCTTGCAAGATGTCACTTATTGCCAACAGTTCTTTTTCCTCCCTTCCTTTGTGACTGAAGGAACTGAAAAGCACTGAGTGGAATTCTGGTTAACAAGAAAGAGGTGTCTGTTCCTATCCCTGGGCTAGGACAGAAGGTCATGAGAATTCCACGAGGAGCTCTGTCTAGGAAGTGTCTGATGGAGGCAGGAGAGGGTTCCTCCTATCAGCTCCGTTGCCACTTCCTTACCCCTTCTGCAGGCCAGGGCGTGTGATGGAGAGGGGTGGGAGAAACAAGCCAGGAATTGGGCCGGGAATTGAAAATAGATTCTATAACACCTGCACAAGAGTAGCAACAAGGGGAAAATGAAAGTAAAGAAGGAAGGGAGCATTAATGTAGAAAGACTAGTGTGTTGAATTCATAGTAGCATTGAAAGCAAAACCTAAGTTTATTATTGCACTATATTAGTGCCATTTTAGTTCCTAAGGAATATGGGTCTTAAACCTGAAGTAATTAAATTCAGATGTGGAATCTACTGTAGGTAAGTCCACCTTGTGTTGGTATCATACTCTGCAAAATATAAGTAGCTTTGGACACTTTGCAGCTTCTCTTGGGTAGTATAGCGAGCCCAAGGAGAGCTTGGACCTCTCTGAGGTCCCTCTGCTCTGGACTCAGTTCTATCCATCTGCTCTTCTGCTCTCTTCTCTGAGGTTTCCCTATCTCTGGGTACCCAGGGGTGTGGGAATTAGGTGTGAAAGCAATGAATGTAGGAGCTATGAGGGGTCAGGGAGAGTACCTGGGGCTAAAAACCAGCTGAGCCTTCCCTCGAGAAGTGACAACTGAGGTGAGAGACATTTGGAAAGGGAGAAGGTGGTGCCTTGCTAGTGTGGGCATCTGTCACACCCAACATCTGGGACTGTTGCCCTCCCGCCTCCCTTCTATGTCAAGTATATCAGCCTCTCTCCGGTGTGCTTTTTTTTCCTTTCTGGATCACACCCGGCGATGCACAGGGGTTAGTCCTGGCTCTGCACTCAGGAATCACTCCTGGCGGTGCTCAGGGGACCACATGGGATGCTGGGAATTGAACCTGGGTCGGCTGCGTGCAAGGCAAACGCCCTACTAGCTGTGCTATCTCTCCAGCTCTCTCCGGTGTGCTTTTAAGTTTTCACTTCCTTCTCCGTAGAGTCATACTGTACTTTTGGAGCCAGGAAAGTGGAAGAACCAAAATTAAAAGTGGAAAGCAAGAAACCAAAATACCGGGTAAAAGAACCTTGAATAAAAACATCTTGAATAAAGATTTGACAAATGCATTTTAGAATTCCTAATATTCCTTTTAGCTAATTCTCCGTGAAATAAAAGCATTTCATTTAAAGGAGTGGGGCAACATGAGGAATCATTTGCAGAAGTTAATCAAAGATGGATTATTTGAGATAGCCATAAGGAATTAAGTCAGCTTCTTGCTGAAACATGGCTTTTAACCACAAACATTTACTTTAGACTCAAGTTTTCTTTTGAGTAGGCTAATGTTAAGGCACAGTAGTCTCCCCGTGCTCTGAGACTCCCCCTATTCGGACCATGCCAGAGAGTGACCTGCTACCTTCACTGGCATATGCAGGAACAGGCTGAAAGGGGAAATCCTAAAACATCCAGCCATGGTGGTTTTTAAAAATTTAAGCCAACTCCACCCCCTCTTTGAATGTGTGTGTATGGGGTGGGAGGTGATGTTGTTGTTTAAAGGACTAAAACAAGGTGAAGCCAACAGCGCAGCCACAGAACTGTGGAAAGCAGGCAGCTTTGGAGGGGCCCATGGGCCAGCTTAAGCCAAGGCCTTTGTCCAGCGAAAACCAGGCAGGTGCTAGAGGGATGGGCTTTTTGGAGAGGATGGAGCCCGGGCGGATGAACTCTTGGGTTAGAAAGGAAATTTGGTATTAAGAGAGCCTCTCCGACTCCCAATAATAACCAGACAACTGGCGGTGTCCAGGGCAGCGGGGCAAAGTGGGAGGCAGGAAGCTAAAAGGCTCAAAGCGCCTTTTGCTGGGCCAGATCAGGAATTGAATTTGGGCGAACGTTTGCCAGCGCCTCCCGGGCTCGGGGCACGGTGCTAAGCTCGGAGTTTGGAAGCTGCCGAGACGGGGGCTCTGGTCCTCTAGGAGCCCAGCGGGCAGTCCCGGGGCTGCAGCCGTCCTCGCGTTCCCGGAGAGCGCCCATCCCTTTCGGGGCGAACGTTCCGTCCCGGCGCATCCACCCGCCGCGGGAGCAGGAGCAGGGCCCGGCGGGGGCGGCGGGGAGCCGAGAGCCGGGCCGGGCGCCAAGCGCGAGCTGCCCGCAGGCGAGGCCAGCCAGACGGTCCGAGCACCCGCACCCGCGGCCTTGGCTCGGGCTCCCGGGGCCGCGGCGGGGCGGGCGGGCTCGGAGCGAAGGTCGCGCGGGCGGTCAGGGGGCAGCGATCCCGGCCTCCCAGCCACCTGGGGTTCCCCCCCATCTCGGACCGGGCGCCCTTCCGCAACCGGGTGGCCGCGGAGCTGGACACGGCCCCTCGCGCCCCGCTCCCGAGAGGCAGGAGCCCCCGCGACCGCGGCGACGTGGGGAGGGGGCGTCCGACCGCGCGCCGGGGGGCGGGAGGGGGCTCGAGGGTGGGATTCGAGGGACGCCGCGGCCCCGCCCCCGCCCCCCCTTCCCCCGGGAGCCCGGGGAGCCGGGGAGCATGGACCAGACCCCGCCGCGCGCGCACCATGACGCTCGCTTGCTTCGCGCTGTCTCTGCTCCTAGGGGCGCTCCCCGGAGGGGCCGGCTCGGACCCGGTCCTTAGCTACCCCCTCCGCCTCCGCCCCCGCCACCCGCCCCCTCCGGGTCCCCGGTACCTCTCCCACGGCCCCAGCGGGCAACGGCGGCCCAGGACGCCCCCGCCGCTCCCGTTCCTGACCCTGCTGGCCGCCCGGCGCCTCCCGCACGCGCCCACGGACCCGCACATGCGGGGGCCGCACCCCCAGGGCTGCCCGGACGGCGAGTCCCCGCTCAACCACACGGACTTCGGCGCCCCGTGCCTGCGCTGGGCAGAGGTGCCTCCCTTCCTCGAGAGGTCGCCCCCGGAGGCCTGGGGGCAGCTGCGAGGACAGCGGCACAACTTCTGCCACAGCCCCGACGGCGCGGACCGCCCCTGGTGCTTCTACGCGAACGCTCGCGGCAAGGTGGACTGGGGCTACTGCCACTGCGGACGTGGTGAGTGGCTCGGGCGGGCGCGGGCTGGACGAGGAAGAGGGAAAGTCGGGAGAGAGGGAGAGAGAGCGTGTGCAGCGGCGGATTTGCATTGCCCAAGGTATTAACCGCGGTCACCGACTTCCAGTCCAGTGGGACCTTGACGTTCAATCGGCCCAGGAAAGCGGACTTGGTGTGCGAAGGTTGTCAGGGAGAGACAGTTGCCCGGGAAGCATAGGTAGGTCTGGTCTCTGAACGCTGTGAGTACTTTGGGTGCATCCGTGTGGTCTAGCTGAGCTCCCTTGGAAGGATGTCAGTGTGTTGACATAAAAGCCAAAGCCGCAAAAGAGACAGATTTTTTTTGTTAATTTGTTCAGCAAAGGGGCATGCTCGATCTTACATGACATCAATAACCTTCCCCAACTCCCCAGTTCCTGGGAAAGTGTGCCCTCCCCCCACCATTCATTCCCATTTGAAAATGTATGGCAGAATTTCGGGGCCTGAACACATCTTGTCAAATGTTTACATTCTGGATCACAGAATGGTCCTTATCACGAAAGGGTAAAGGGAAAAAGAGGTAGGAATAGTAAGCATCTTAAGGAAGGAGCAACTTGATCTAGGCAAATGCAGAAAGGCATTATTTAGCTTCGTCTTTTATTCATGGAAAATTGGTAATTAAAGCATCGCAGAAATAGATTTATTGTAAATCAATCATCTGCTTTTAAACAGCACTTTATTCTTTATTTTGAGTTGCTGGAGTTTTGCTTAATATTACTCCCAGCACCCTCCCCCTGCTCTTTAACAGCTGAGGATGAAAAATTGCTTGTCCTTCAAACTTTGAATTTTCCTTAAAATTTTTTTTTTAGGAGCATCTCTCCATCCAAACTGTTGGATAGGGGTTTCTTTAATTGGGATTCTGAAATAGGCTGTTCTTTGTATTTTTTTTTGGGGGGGGGATGATTTGGAGATTACCCCCTTCACAGTGCCATTCTTTTCCTACAGAAAATTTTATTTATCTGTGCCTTCAATTGCATTAGTGCTTTGAGCTACAGGAAAGTGATAGGAAGGTTAAGATCAATTATCCTTCATCCTGGAGAATGAAGTCATCTCTGTACTCGTGTTTCATGGACAGAATGCCAATGTGGCTATAAAAAAAATCGAGGTGTTATGAAACAGAGCGCCTCAGCATTATCTCATTATTTACTGTAAGAGATGATTTGTAGCAAAACCTCATGGGGTGTTTGTTTAGCAAACATTCATAGTTTTTTTTTTCATTGTTCTGTGATTCCTAATTTTACATAGTAGAAAATTACTAGGGAAGGTATGTGTGGGAAAGGAGACACATATTTTTCTTAAATAGATGTAAACACTTACTGAAAGGAAGAACAGAAATTCAAGTTAAAACACTGTAATGATCAATTCTGTTCCTTACTCATTATTCCTTCACCTTCATACTCGATCAAGTTGAATAGCTTATTCTTTGAATCCCTGCCCCCTTGAGTGGAATTTACACCTAACAACAGCACAGTTTCTTTGTGATGCCTTTATGTGCATAGCTAATTCCCTGCTTACTAGTTGTGTGCACTTCCTGGAGTAAAGTGATTGAAGGCAAGAAAAACAAAAGAAAACACCCAAGATGGAAGATTGTGTCCCCCACCCCCACTCTTGAAAAAAAAAAAAAGGAAAAACCCAACCAGGAAAGCAATCAGCTGGCTATGTAGTGATTGAATTTCCTGCATAGATTTTGTTCTGATCAGACATACTTCATAGTTTTGAAATGACAGGCATTTCTGAATCTTACCATTTTCTTGGTCCTACATTTCTCTTCAGAGCATGAACAAAGTTCTCACAGAATGGCAAACAACTATGGATTGTGCTTTAGAAAACACTGGGCTTTGTTAGTAATGAACAGGAGTCTTAATTCCCAGAGTTTTGTTTCCTTACATGAAAAAAAAAAACATATATATATCTTTTTAAAGCTGTTTGAGATAGTTTAATTCAAAGGACTTTTCCAACTCTTCTTCTGGACCAAAATGACCTGCCTAGCTTGATAATAACAGCTAGAATTTATCCATCACTCCGTCTGTGTTGGATGCTGGGCTAAGCGTTTTATTCATTAGCTTTCTCATTGATTCTCATAGCAACGTTAAAAGAGAGTGCACATTTTCACTTCACAGTTCATTTTGCTCTGGTTTTTTAATTATATAAACATACAGACATATATGTGCTGTCTAAGGATCCTATTTTTGGAGGTTGAGGACGGGTCTAAAAGGAAGGAGAAAAGAATTTCATTTGGTCCAGTGCACATGGTTTCTAGTCTCTTGTGATTTTAAAATATCCAGGCATTTAAAAAGCAACCGGGACAAAAGGAAAGAAAATGTATAGTCATGAGATCCCTCCTTTAAGAAAATAAACTGGAGGCCAGAATTGCATATCTAGTTGCATGGGGAGAAATGAGGAAGTTGGTGTCCCTTTGGTGGGGTGTCCGTTGAAGCCTACTTAAAAGAATGGTGGGAGAGAGGGCCAGGAGAGCTCAGGCAGGGTTTGCTCATTCTGGGGACTCAGATGTCCCAAGGCAAGAAAGATGGCTTGACTCTGAAGGTCAAAACCTTGAAAGTTCATAATAAACAGTTATTCAACAGATTCCGGGAGGTTAATTCTCTTAAAGAGCATTTGAATCTCCATTGGCCTGGGGAAAGATAATAGAGGGGTTAAAGTCCTTTCTTGTTGTGGCCAGCCCAAGTTTGGTCCCTGGCACCACATGATCGCTTGAGCTGGGAGTGACTTCTGGGCACCAAAGAGTATGCTCCCGTCTTTCCCCAATTCCCCAAGAGTCACTTGTTAAAAAGCAGATACCTGGGTTCTAACTGTCCCAGGCCCCACGAGGAAACCTCTAAAGAGCAACCTAAGTGATTTGGATACAGCTGTCACAGCTGGGGAGTCATGGGAAGGTGTCAGAGTCCTAGACTCTTTGGGTAATCATGTAGACAGATGGAGGACACTATTCTGTGACTTAATCCTGCTGGTGTAAGATCAAGCATAGGCAGATCTATTGAAAAATTTTGTGCGGTTTTAGAAAATAGCATCACTGGTTCAAATCTATTTATCCAGGATAGGATGATAACAACCAGGTCTCCCAGAAAATGATTATTAAGTGAATGGGAGCCAGGTTATTCTCACATTTCTAAGGAAGACTTAACCAACAACTGAATCCTCCTAACACTACCTGGAAATAATTTAGGGTTTCCTGACTAGGAAGGGAAGCAGTTTTTCCAGTCTCTGGTGAGCTTGGCAGAAGGCAGTATGCTTGATTCTGTGCTGGAGACTTTTTTGTTAAACCGGCCACGTGGAACTTAACTTTAGGTGACAGAAAACTGATGGCTAAAACAGGTGCAGTAGGGCCAGAGCTAGAGTATAATGGGTAGGACACTTGCCCTGCACTTACCTTGCCTTGCATTCCCAGGTACAATCTCTGGCACCCCATATAGTTTTTAAGCCCCAGAAGGAGTGATCCTTGAGCACAGAGCCAGGAGTACCACATTTCTGGTTTGGCCCCAAAAAACAATCAATAAATAAAACAAGTGTAATAAATTATGATGCCTTAATAATTGAGACTTTTATTTGTGAAGAATGATTCATAGATCTTTTTGTCATGTCATGCTAATCTGTTTATATGTACCTACGAACCCAAGTCTGCTGATTTAAGTAGAGTTGTCAGTCTTGTGAGATGAATACTGTTGTACACAGGCTGATGTACTCTGAGGAGTCCATATGGTGCTTGAAGTGAATGTTAATTTAAAAATTGGCTGAAGTCTGCCTCCTACCCCCCTTTAAATGCTGCTTCTTGATTCTGTGAAGCAGGTGCTGAAAAACATGTATTAGTAATACCAGATTTGATCCATTTCCTGGCTAGACTTTAAATATTGAGCTTGTTTTGTTTTCCAAGCTAAGGCAGATGTAAAATACTTATAATTTAGGACATTATCAAACTCTTCACTAGTGTTCAAATTAAGACAAAAAAAATAAATCTATGCAATTGTGAACGAGACTGTATATTCATGAGCTTACTATGTGTGTTTAAATGTGTGTGTATGAAGGCAATCTTTACACAAGTTATATGGCCCATACTATGAAGGCGAACATAAACATCTGGCAATAAGGTATTGCTCAGAAGTCCCTCCATTTTATGGATACTATACTGTTAAAAAAATGATGATACCTGTATAGATTATATATCAAGCTGAAAAAGAAGAAAAGATTGTCACAAATTTACATACAATGCGTATTCAATATGCCAAAACCAGTAACAACAAGTCTCACAATTTGTTGTGAGAGGTTACTGGTGCCCGCTCGAGCAAGTCAACGAACAACGGGAGGACAGTGCTACACTGCTACAATTGTGAAAATTGCCAGGAGAGAGTTTGGAAAAGAACACAGATGATTATGAACAGGTGACTAACTATGATCTGGATCATTATAGTGGCAAACAATAGAAGACGTAGAGAGGTTAAGGTATTACCTTGCATCCATCCAACCCCTTCTTTGATCCCCTGGAAATAGCCCTGGGATATGGCCAACATACCCCTCCAAAAGCCAACATAAAACCATGCCTCCAGACATATTTTTTTAACACTTCATGGTTAGAAAATCAGAAGGAAATTACTTTGCTATTTACCATCTAGTTTTTTTCCAGATCACTTTCTCACTTTCCTTCCTCCTTCCTGCAAATCAGCACAATATCAATAAAAGTTTTATTGTGTACAAAGCACTGAAGTAATGAAACATTCCCTCCTACAAGTCACACATGTTCACTCGGCTACCTTCGTGCTTTTTATTAAGATCACCAGAGGACACAAGGAGTGCATAGTGCTGGTTCTTGTTATGAGGTATGGATAGATTTTATTAAATCTTCACTGTTTCCTCTAGGAGCAGTATTTACAGAGGTGAAATCCACTCTGTCTTCTGGTTAAGGGCACTATTCTCAATTGAGAAGTTAGTAGAATACAAAATATTTTTATTACCCT